TGCGGCGCTCCCTCAGCACTGACCCTCCGACAGTGCGGCGCTCCCTCGGCAGTTTGAGAGGATAAAGAGATAAGGCAGAGGTCGGGTCGGGGTGGGGGTGAGGGGAATGGAATCCACAGAACAGCCGTGAAATTGATCACACACTTACCTGTTTGTTCAGGAGGTGGTAGCATCGACTGTAGTCCTCACCCACCAGGCAGTTGACTGGCAACTTCCTGTGTTCGCTGAGATCCACCAGGTAGAGGATCAATTCAATTGCGGAGATGAGAACACTGAGGACTGCACAGGCTAGGCATGCTCTCAGCTGTAAGTAACATGGAACAGGCCAGTTGACAGATACATTGGTGGGGATGGGAGAGGGGTGGGGTGTGTGGTGGGGGAGAGGGGGCATGTCTGGGTAGTGGGTGGGGTCAGCAGGTTACTCCGACACTCAGAGGCAGGGAACGTCATAACAGGAGGGCTGGGAAGCAGGGAGTTTGGACAGATTGCAAAGTGGGTGACTCCTCGCTCGGCTCCCCCTCACCGAATGCTCTCAGGCCTCTCCCCCCACCCCCGGCCCTCTCCTGCGACGGTCACTCTGACACCAATCCCCCCCACCTCCTCCGATCGAGGGCCCGAAGATGCACAGGGGGCAGCGGTCAACGGAGGGACGTGCCTCTCAGGGTGGCGCCATGATGACTGTGCGCCAGAGCTGTTTTTCCCTGGCACCCGGAAACCCCAAGGAGACGCGTCGTCGTGCGGAGGGACCGCGGGAGAGGTGACAGCAGGATACCTTCTCCCTCATATGCCTGCCAACTGCTATGTCATGGTTCACAGAGACAGAAATGGACCCTTCGGTCCAACTCGTCCATGCCGACCAGATATCCTAAACTATTCTAGTCCTGTTTGCCAGCAGTTGGCCCATATCCCTCTAAACTCTTCCTATTCATGTACCCATCCCAGATGCCTTTTAAATGTTGTAATTGTACCAGTCTCCACCACTTCCTCTGGCAGCTCGTTCCATACACGCACCACCCTCCATGTGAAAAAGTTACCCCTCAGGTCCCTTTTAAATCTTTCCCCTCTCACCTTAAACCTATGCCCCTCCAGTTTTAGACTCCCCTACCCTGGGGAAAAGACCTTGTCTATTCATCCTATCCATGCCCCTCATGATTTTATAAACCTCTATAAGGTCACCCCCTCAGCCTCCGACGCTCCAGGGAAAATAGCCCCAGCCTCTGCCTGTAGCTCAAACCCTCCAACCCTGGCAACATCCTTTTAAATCTTTTCTGAACCCTTTCAAGTTTCACAACATCCTTCCTGTAGCAGGGAGGCCAGGATTGAACACAGTATTCCAAAAGTGGCCCTAACCAATGTCCTGTACAGCTGCAACATGACCCTCCCAACTCCTATACTCAATGCACTAACCCATAAAGGCAAGCATACCAAATGCCTTCTTCACTGCCCTGTCTACCTATTTGCTGGGGATTTGGATCGTCGATCGTGGCAGTGGTAAAATGGCACTTGGTTTCAGTCTCGCCGAGAAGGGAGGCTCATCGCCAATGCTTTTAGCCCGGCATTTCATCAGGACAGCTGGCAAGAATTCCAAACTTTGAACAGTCACCATCATTTCTACACACCATCCCAACTAACAGCCACATTAATAGCAACCCAATTTTTATTTTTTGTTTATTTTTCATTTCAGGGATGTGGGCACATCACTGGCTGGACCAGCATTCATTACCAAGAGGTCAGTTAAGAGTCAACCACATTGCTGTGGATCTGGAGTCACATGTAGGCCAGACCAGGTGTAAATTTCGTCCCCTCAAGGACATTGGTGAACCAGGTGGGATTTTCCTGACAATTGGCATTAGGCTCTTGATTCCAGATTACTGTCGAATTCAAACGCCCCCATCTGCCATTCGAACCGGGATCCCCAGAACATGGCCTGGAACAAATCCACTGGATTGACAGCAGACTGCTGATAATACCACTAGGCCTTTGCCTCCCCACCCCCCAACCCGAGGACCGTCAATCGAGGTTGGAGTTTAGCTCATTAAACTGGTTGGAAGAGGCTTAAGTTGGCACAAAGGGATTGTGTCTCTGTGTAAATGAGGAACATGTGGCCTTCATGAGCCTCCCATTCCCCGCTGCTTTTTCCATGGCAACACACTCCTGAATTTTAATAAGGCAAACTCTGGTGAGTTAGCTATAATGGATTGGGAAATGTTACTGAAAGGAATGATAATGGATAGACAATGGAAAACATGCAGTGAACAAATGGCACAAACTACAAAAATTGTTGATTCCTGTCCAGTGCAAGACTGCCAAGAGAACAGTGGCCAAACCATGGCATGAGACGGAAGCTAGGGTTTGATATTAGACGCCAAAAAAAGAAGGCATGCTAACTGTCAAGAAAAGACGATAGACCTGAGGATTTGGGAACAGTTAGAAGCTAGTAAAGGAGGACGGAGGGACTAATTAAAAAAGGGAATAAAAGGCAACACAGGGACTGACTGTGAAAGTTTCTCTGGGCTTGTAAAGAGGAAGAACTTGGCAAAAACTAATGTAGGTTCCTTACTGTCAGAAACAGGGAAATTTATAACGTGGAACAAAGAAATGGCTGACAGACTAAATGCATGCTTTGCTTGTGTTTTCGCAAAGGAGGACATAAATAATGAGCCAGAAATGCAGGGAAACACAGGGTTTACTGAGAAAGAGGAACTGAAGCATTGTCTGAAGTCGCAGAGAAATTATGCTGGAGAAACTGATGGGACTGAGGGCTGATAAATCCCCAGAGCCTGGATAACCTACATCCCAGAGCACATAAGGAAGTGACCCTAGAAAAAGTGAATACATTGGTGGTCATCTTCCAAGATTCTTTAGAGTCTGGAGTAGTTTCTGCAGATTGGAGGGTAGCAAATGTAACCCCACTGTTTAAAATAGGTGGTACAGAGAAAACAGAGAATTATAGACCAGTGAGTCTGATATCAGCGGTAGGGGAGATGCTCGATTGGACAGAGTCAGCATGGATTTACAAAGGGGATTTACGTTTAACAAATCCACTGGAATTCTTTGAGGATGTAACCAGTGCAGTTGATGAGGGAGAGCCAGTGGATGTGATTTATTTGGACTTTCAGAAGGATTTTGACAAACTCCAGATTAGAGATTAGCGTCTAAAGTTAAAGCATGTGGGTTTGGGGATTATGTATTGAGATGGATTTTTTAAAAAATTAGTTATCGGACAGAAAGCAAAGAGTAGGAATAAAAGGATCTTTTTCCGAATGACAGGCAGTGACTCGTAGAGTACCGCAGGGACTGGTACTCAGATATTCACAACATATATTCACGATTTGGATGAGGGAACTAAATGCAACGTCTTCAGATGACACAAAGCAGGGTGGGAGGGTGAGCTGTGAGGAGGATGCAGAGATATTTCAGTGTGATTCGGACAGGCCGATGAAAGTGGGAAAGTGAAAGTGATATATAGAAGCTGCAGCATAATGTGGATAAATGTGAGGTTACCCACGATGGCAGCTGAAAGAGGAAGACAGATTACTATCTGAATGGCTGTAAATTGAGAGAGAGGAGCATCCAACGTGGCCTGGGTGTCCTTGCACAGCAAGGATTGCAGAAGCAGCAGGTGGCAGAGAGGGTAAACGGTACTTTGGCCTTCGTAGCGATGGGATTGGAGTACAGGAACAGGGATGTCTTGCTGTGATTGTACAGGGCATTGGGTGAGGCCACACCTGGAATACTGTGTGCAGTTTTTGTATCTTTATTTTGCTGTTGAGGGAATGCAGCGAATGTTTACCAAATGGATTGATGCATGGGGCGAGATTGAGTCCTTCAGGACTGTATTCACTGGAGTTTGGAAGAATGAGGGGGGAATCTCATAGAAGCCGACAAAATTCTAGTTGGGTGGACGCAGGAAGGACCTTCCCAAGGGTCCAGAGCCAGGGGTTATAGTTTAAGGTTAACGGTTAAACTTTTTCGGGCTGAGGTGAGGAGAAATCTCTTCACCCAGGGAGCGGTGAGCCTGTGGAATTCACTACCAAACAAAGCGGTTGAGGCCAAAACATTGGGTGATTTTTCTTTAAAGGAGGTGGTAGGCGCATGTCTTGCGGGATCGAGGGATATAGGGGGAGTGCAGGATTAGGGCATTGAGCTTAACGATCAACCACAAATGGGGGAGCAGGCTCGAGGGGTGGAATGGCCTACTCCTGCTCCGGCGTGACACGTCAGGCAATCAGGGTCCGTCAGCGCTATTTCCTCCTGTCGTGTAGATCATTTGAAGTTTGGCATTCTTGCGCCTCTGTCCTGATAAGTGACAGAGGAATAGGTTTGCCAAAGGCGGGGGAGGGGGGCTCCACCTTCAACAGCGTTCAATGCTGACACCTGTGGTTCATCCTGCCCCGACATGGTCTCAGAACATCGGCAGAACGCTGCAGCGCGCAAACGGTTGAGGCTACTCAGGCCAGGTAGCAGAATCGTTAATGGGCCGAACGGCCTTTTTGCGCGCTGGGAATTTCGCGCCTGGCGCGGCAGAGACTAAATGTCTCCACAGGGTGCCAGGGGACCGGCTTTACTTACAAGTACTTGGTGCGGTTTCTCATCACCGATATACACGATGCTGCCTGTGACGACAAACTGTGAGACAAACAGGCACACAACGGTCACTGTGGCATCTGTCACACATCCATCTATCAACCGATTGCACGCCACCCTGAGTACTATCCCCTTCCCTCTCCATCTTTCTGTCTCTCCCTCTCTCTCTCTTAATAGCCTGAAATTGCTGTCGCCCCTTTTGGGAATGGAAGAGGGTGAGTGGCACAGTCCCTTCAGCCCACCGGGTCTGTGCTCACCCTTCTAAACAAACCCCATCTGCCTGCACGTGCTTTGTGTGTCCCTCTATTTCCCTGCCTGTCGACGCGTCTGCCTAAACGCCTCTTGAAGGTCTTATGAGGAAAGGCTGAGGGACTTGAGGCTGTTTTCGTTAGAGAGAAGAAGGTTAAGAGGTGACTTAATAGAGACATACAAGATGATCAGAGGATTAGATAGGGTGGACAGTGGGAGCCTTTTTCCTCGGATGGTGATGGCTAGCACGAGGGGACATAGCTTTAAATTGAGGGGTGATAGATATAGGACAGATGTCAGAGATAGGTTCTTTACTCAGAGAGTAGTAAGGGCGTGGAATGCCCTGCCTGCAAAAGTAGTAGACTCACCAACTTTAAGGGCATTTAAATGGTCATTGTATAAACATATGGATGATAATGGAATAGTTTAGGTTAGATGGGCTTCAGATTGGTTTCACAGGTCGGCGCAACATCGAGGGCCGAAGGGCCTGTACTGCGCTGTAATGTTCTATGTTCTATCATATCTGCTTCCACCACCTTCCCTGGCAGCACGTTCCAGGCACATACCACCCTCTGTGCAAAACCATTTGCCTCACGCACTTCATTCCCCCTCTCACCTCAAACTTAGTATCTGGCATATCCACCCCTGGGGTAAAAAAAAGACCATGACTATCCTGCCCTATCCATGCGTCTCATAATTTTGTACACTTTCTATCAGGTCACCCCTCAACCTCCGACGCTCTAGAGAAAACAATCCAGGTTTGCCCAACCTTTCCTTACAGCTAATTCCCTCCAATCCTGGCAAATCTCTTTTGCACTCTCTCCAAAGTATATCATCATTCCTTTGAGTGTGCTGAGCGGAACTCCACACAATGCTCCAAATGTGGCCGAACTAAAGTTTTATACAGCTGTAACATGACTTGTCGACTTTTGTAATTAATGCTCTAACTGATGAAGGTAAGCATCCCACATGCCTACTCTACCACTTTATCTGCTTGTTCACGGAGCTGTGGACTTGCACCCCTCTGTATATCAATGCTCCAAAGGGTCTGGCCATTTACTGTATGCTTTCCTCTCGCATTTGACCTCCCAAAATGCATCACCTCACATTTGTCCAAGATTAAACTCCATCTGCCATTTCTCTGCCCAACTTTCCAGCTGGTCTATTTCCTACTATTCCTCACTATCCACACTCCACCAGTTTTCATGTTGTCTGCAAACTCACTAATCAGACCACCGACATTTTCATCCAAATTGTTTATTACAAACAGCAGAGGGCCCTTGCAGGACACCACTGCTCACAGATCTCCTGTCAGTAAAACACTCCTCCACAACTACCCTCTGACACCTATGACCAAGCCAATTTTGTATGCAACTTGCCAACTCATCATGGATCTCATGCGACTTAATCTTCTGGACCAGCCTACCACAAGGGACCTTGTCAAATGCTTTAGTGAAGCCCAGGTAGACAACATCCACTGCCCTACCCTCAACAATCATCTTCGTCTCTTGTTCAAAAAACTCAATCGAACTTGTGGGACAAGACATCTTCTGCATTAAAACCATGCTGACTATCCCTAATAAGTCCATTCTTTTCCAAATGTGAGTAAATCCTGTCCCTAAGAATCTTCTCCAATAATTTCCCTACCTCTGAGGCAAGGCTCACCTTTACCTTCTATTATCCCCATCGCCCTTCTTAAACAAAGGAACAACACTGGCTATTCTCCAGTCTTCTGGGACCTCACCTTTAGCGAAACAGGATGCAAAGATGTCTGTTCAAGGTCCCAGCAATCTCCTCCCTTGCTTCCCTCAGGATTCTGGGATAGATCCCATCAAGCTCTGGGGACTTATCTACCTTAATGTTTTTCAAGACGCCCCACACCCATCTCCTTTTTAATATCAACATACCCTAGAATTAGCAACATACCTCTCCCTAAATTTATCATCATCCATGTCCTTCTCTTTGGTGAATTCCAATGTAAAGTCTCCATTAAGGACCTCACCCAATTCCTCTGGCTCCATACATAAATTCCTTTCTTAATCCTTGAGTGGGCTTACCCTTTCCCTCGCTACCTGCTTGCTCCTAATATATTCATAAAATGCCTTGCCATTCTCCTTAATCCTACTTGTCAAGGACATTTCACAGCCCCTTCTAGTCATAGAGTCATACAGCATGGAAACAGGCCCTTCGGCCCAAACTGGTCCATGCTGACCATGGTACCCACTCAGCTAGTTCCAACTGCCCACATTTGGTCCATATCCCTCCACACCCTTCCCCATCCATGTACCTATCCAAATGTTTGTAAATGTTGCTGTTGTACCTGCCCTTCATAATCTTGTAGACCTCTATCAGGTCGCCCCTCAACCTCCGTCGTTCCAGTGAGAACAACCCAAGTTTCTCCAACCTCTCCTCATAGCTAATGCCCTCCATACCAGGCGGCATCCTGGTAAATCTTTTCTGTACCCTCTCCAAAGCCAACACATCCTTCTGGTGGTGTGGCGACCAGAATTGAACACGATATTCCGAATGCGGCCTAACTGAGGCTCTATAAAGCTGCAACATTACCTGCCAATTTTTAAACTCAATGCCCCGGCCGATGAAAGCGAGCATGCCGTAGGCCTTGTTGACTACCTTTTCCACCTGTGTTGCCACTTTCAGTGACCTGTGTACCTGTACACCCAGATCCCTCTGCCTATCGGTACTCTTAAGGGTTCTGACATTTACTATATATTTTCCATCTGGATTAGACGTGTCGTTGCTTGTAGACAGTGCAGGAATCCCTTGAGGCCTGGGACACCTTGCAGAAGCCCTGGAGCTGTGTTTGAAGATCCCTTGCACAGAGGATGAACTCTACTTAAGTAATTTCTTTTTATTCTTTTTGTTACTCAAAAAACGACGCCAGATGGTGGCCCGAAAACGCTTTTCACTGGACAATAAATAAATAAATCTGCTGGAGCAGTTTGTTTGTGTATGTGGGTGTTCATGAATGAGAGTGCGCGCGTTTGCATATTGTGCGCTGGAGTAATTGTGTGTTTATGTGTCTGCACGTGAGAGAGCGTGTATTTGTGTGCGGATTTCTGGTGTGCGCATGTTCATGTGCTTGTACACGCGTTCATCCATTATTCATTCACAGGATGAGGGCCTCTCTGGCTAGGCCAGCATTTATGGCCCATCCCTAATGGCCCAGAGGGCAGTTAAGAGTCAACCACGTTGCGGTGGGTCTGGAGACACATGTAGGCCCAGGCCAGGTAAGGATGGCAGTTTCCTTCCCTAAAGGACATTAGTGAACCAGATGGATTTTTTCCCAATAATTGACAACGGATTCACGGTCATCATTAGATTAGAACATACAATAGAATCTCTACAGTGTGGAAACAGGCCCTTCGGCCCAACAACTCCACACTGACCCTTGGAGCGTCCTACCCAGACCCATCCCCTTATAACCCACCTAAGCTACACATCCCTGGACACTACGGGACAATTTAGCATGGCCAATCCACCCTAACCTGCACATTTGGGACAGTGGGAGGAAACGGGAGCACCCGGAGGAAACCCACGCAGACACGGGGAGAATGTGCAAACTCCACACAGACAGTCGCCCGAGGCTGGAATTGGACCCGGGTCCCTGGCGCTGTGAGGCAGCAGTGCTAACCACTGAGCCACCGTGCCGCCCCTTTAATTCCAGATTCTTAATTCCAGATTTTTTTTTGGAAATTCCGCCATCTGCCGTTGCAGGATTCAAACCCGGGTCCCCAGAACATGCATTTGTACGTCTTTGTGTGTGAGAGACCGAGCTAAAACAGATGAGGGAGTGCAATGGGGAGGTACAGAGATGATGGGACGATATTGCTGGAGCTGGCTATATCCATTTGGTGAGGAGATCTCTAGCTCCCTGAGCCCCCCAGGACACTGCACATTATCGAATAAATTCAAAGCACTACAGCACTCACCAACACAGCAATGAGAAAGGATGCCCCAGTCTGGATGACTCTTGAAGGTACACTGTAGATGTACCTGACTTCAAGTGTGAAGATTATTAACCCCAACATCAACAACGCAACCTATAAATGCAGATGTAAAAAAAAATTAATAACTCAGAGGCAGAGCTGATCAGATTATATCACTGCCTCAAGGGAATGGGAGGAGGCCATTCAGCCACCCCTTCTCCAGCCAGTCCCACAGGAACAGGCCATTCAGCCCCTTCTCCAGCCTGTCCCACAGGAACAGACTATTCAGCCCCTTCTCCAGCCTGTCCAACAGGAACAGAAAATTCAACCCCTTCTCCAGCCTGTCCCACAGGAACAGAATATTCAGCCCCTTCTCCAGCCTGTCCCACAGGAACAGACTATTCAGCCCCTTTTCCAGCCTGTCCCACAGGAACAAAAAATTCAACCCCTTCTCCAGCCTGTCCCACAGGAACAGGAGGAGGCCATTCAGCCCTTCACCAGCCTGTCCCACAGGAAGAGACCATTCAGCCCCTTCTCCAGCCTGTCTCACAGGAACAGGGAGAGGCCACTGAGCCCCCTCTCCAGCCTGTTACTCAGGAACAGGAGAAGGCCATTCACGAGGGGTGAGGCGAGGATACAAAAATGAAGGCAAGGAGTGAGGGAGAGGGGCTAGGGATAGCTGTTGGTGGGGGGAGAGATGTCGGGGAGAAGTTTGAAGGAGAGTGTGGGGGAAGGGAGCAGTGCAAGCAACAGGGGTGAGGGAGAGGATTGAGGGAGAGAGGAAAGGATGAGAGAGAGGGAGGAGTAAAGGGGATTCTTACACCAACTGCTTTTGGCTCACTGCTCCGAAACCTCTTGATGGGGTCTGGCATCTTGCCCTGGGCAGAGCTGGCATCAGACAAGTGGGAGCTCTCAGCCAAACCTGAAGTGGTCACTGCTGTAGCCATGACAGGGCCCTGCAAAATGAAAACACCTTGTCATCAATGCAGACAAACATCCCGCGCCATGGTTACTGCCGAAAGAAAATGTGGTTTGTCAAAGTCTTTCATCTGGCATCAGGAAATAACGTTTCAAGGGGGTGGGGGGGAAGCAACATTTATACCATGTGGATACCAAGTGCTATGCTTCCTCACCACTGACCCTCCGACAGTGCCCACTCCCTCAGCACTGACCCTCCGACAGTGCGGCGCTCCCTCAACACTGACCCTCCGACAGTGTGGCGCTCCCTCAGTACTGACCCTCCGACAGTGCGGTGCTCCCTCAGTAATGGCCCTACAAAGTAAGAGGTTTAGGGCAGATGTTAGAAAGTTATCGGTTACTGAAATGGGGAAGACTGTAGTGGCTGGAAGAGGTTACAGCATAGGGAAGTGTAGTTGCTGGAGGAGGTTACAGAGATAGGGAGAGGTGTAGGTGCTGGAGGAGGTTACAGAGATAGGGAGGGGTGTAGGGGCTGGGGGATATTACAGAAATAGGGAGGGGTGTAGGGTCTGGGAATGATTACAGAAATGGGGAGAGGCGTAGGGTCTGTGAGAGATTACAGAAATGGGGAGGGGTGTAGGGTCTGGGAGAGATTAC